GACATTTTTATATGAAGACACTTTGAGAGAGTACAAATATTCCGATTGAATCTAAAATTTCTAGCATTGTATAAATTCATTTTTTTCACATCCTACATGTAAAATTTAAACAATGTTTATAAATCCCAGGCCCTGAAGATGATCCCAATAAAGATCAAAACGTCGGCATGATAAAGAAAATGTGTTTCTAAAACCTACGTCACAGACCGCATCTCACGACCTTCAAATCAAGTAAAGGCAACTGAACACAACACAATATGATGTGATTTTACTTTATATATATATATATATATATATATATTGTTTTTAAATGTTTTTGTATTGAATAAACGGTAGTCAGAAGTTTCATTGAAACATTAACATAGCTCTATAACGAGTAGCCTACTTGCAGTATTGCGTTATCTAATTCTAGCCGGGATCATCCGGGAGTCGAACATCCTCATCCGGCATAAGTGTTTGGAAGTTGAAAACAATTTCTCTCAACTCGCTTATGTAAGACGACTACACGTGGTATAGATCCTCCCGCTGGCACGTATTGCAGAGAGAACATATCTCATAAGCATCAGTTGGATAAAGCTTAACGTTCAATACGACAAGTTCACCACGAAGTCTAAATAAGCATCTTACGACGTCTAAATCCACTGCAGGTTCGCGCACTGCAAACCCGGAGCCAGTTAGTAAATTGTAAAGTTTTTTCATAAATTACGACTTTTGAATGAAAAGAAGCATTCTTTTCCTCTTTGAACTCTGACAATATCTTTTTTATATCCACTTGTATTAATTTTGGTTTGAAGGAATCTAAATTATTGGATGTACTATACTTTACGGCCAATACATATATATTTTGCCCTTATCTTGTTTCGTACTCCACTATCAAGGCGTGCCATATTTACCATTTTTGCAGGTGTAATTCAAGTGCGAACTCGTGGTGTGGGAAGAATAGCATCAATTTCGTTTCCAAGTGAGTAGTGTAATTAGGGAAGTAACTGGCCAGGTAAAACAAATTTCTCACAAACATGAAGCAAAACACTCTCTACCATCGCAACTTCAGTACATCCCCAGACTTGGACCTCGTGGCACAACACTGCTCTTAGTACAGCATTTAACACTATACCCTGTCCTGTTCAATAAAGGCACGCTTCGATTTGCAAACGCTTCCTTCTAAACACAATTAAATTTTGCAAATACGATACTTTCTTATGTAGGTGTTTGTTGACAAAAAGCCTAGGAGGAAATAATGCAGCCAGATATTGATATTACTTCGACAATATGGATTATTTCCTTGTTATATGTCCACCTTTCAGTTCTTTGTCCCCTCCCTTCATTTTGAAAAATAATAACTTTATATTTGCTTAAATTTACTGTTAATCTCCATTTATTGTAATATTTTTGAAGTAAATCTATTTTTCAGTGCTAGTGGATTATCAGAAATGTTAGTCATGTGGTTAGCATAAAGTTACACCTTGATTACTCCCAATCTTTATCCCATACTACAACCAATCTACAAGGTGATTGACATATTGAATATATATTGATGCGAAAAGAAGCGGACTCAGTGTACATCCTTGTTATACGGGATACTTTTTCGTTCGGCAGACCTGTGTTGTTGACATTCTAATTGAAAGGCAGGATAATGCGTAAATTCGTTAATTTTTTAAAATGGTAATATTTGGCTTGAACCATTAGATTTCGTGGTCCGATTGACCAAATAACTTCTTTCAATTAATTAATCTTTATGTAAGGTATTGGTTGAAATAAAACAGCCAGTGTCACGAACGGGATTCGAACCCACGACCTTCGGCTCAATACGCCGTTTTTCTATCACTTGAGCTATCGTGACTTCGATCCACTCGGACACCAACTTCCCATCTCAACCCATCTATCGAATTTTCCCTCTTTTTTGCCATTTTTCAAATGTCGTGTAATCAAGATTAGATGAAGTCACGAGAGCTCAAGTAGCGGCGTATTTAGCCGAATGTAGTGGGTTCGAATCCCGCTCGTGACACTGGCTGTTTTTTTTTTCAACCAATGCCTTACATAACTGGGAGGTTCAGTAAGCATTTAAAATGAACCACCCAATCAGGCCGTAGTCTTGCAGCGTGGCAAACAGGATGGTGCTTCTTTAAAACTATTACAAGCTACTAAATTGTTTACCATCTGTTACATTTTTAAACTTTTCAGTGAGGTTTGTAAAAAGTTATTTTCTTTTGAGAAATTAACTTGGCGTATATTCTTGTCGGTTTCAATATCGTTCGTACTTCCTTGGAATTGTTCAATCTGGATAAATTAAATAACTTCACAGACCATTTCCTAGTATGTTTACATTCCCAATCATTCTTCGCAAAAGGACACGACCCCAGACCATTTAAGAGCAATGATTTCTCTTGTAAATAAATCAACCGTGTAGTCGACTTCCTCACTTAAAGGCAGGATAATGCGTTATTTCGTTTTTAATTTTTTTATTGCAATATTTGGCTTTCTGTGATACTCATCTCAGTCGAAATAATAGCGGGTTGAATGGTTCTTCATTGACAGTCCGTGACGAGTATATGGGCATATGCCCTGAAAAAAATTGGAACTTTAGAATTGCTTCCGCAAGAAGATAATACCAACAGAACACAGACTCACAGACTCCTTGTCGACAGATATATGTGGCTTCTCCATCCCTCTCATCGGAAGAGCGTCCATTTAGAACGATCAGCCAACTTCCGCACACAATGCCAGAAACTTTGAGTTTATTAATTTGTCTTTGGAATTAAAATCGACCATATTAAGAAGACCATCATCATCTATGCTTTGTGAAGACGCAATTCGTAACTAAAGCTATAAAATTTAATGTAGAATGTTCTGATCCGAAATTGCTTAATTCAGTAAAATTTTCGTCCCAGTTGTAGCAATTTTAGTACACTGGTAAGATGTGCAATGTCTGTCCCAAAATTGTGTATCTGAATCAACTTTGATCTCTTTAAATCCCCTCTTAAAACCAATTATCAGGCATCCACTTGCCCTTCTATGTTAAGATATTTTCTTTGCTTCGACCCATTTCATATCCAAATCAGAAAAAAAGTTAAATAAATGAACTCCTTCATCAAGAACAAGTGTTTGGATAAGTAAACTTACATGTCCAGACGTGCAGTATTGTATGACAAAATTTGAAGAAAATGATATGACTTTCTCCAGTCAAACTGGTTCTTTTTATGCATTCGCAGATGGCGGAGATTACCCTCGGAAAAAGCTGATTAGTGTTTTTATCTCTGTGTCCCTAATGGGTCTTTTGGTCCGTCTGCTTCTGATTTCTTCATTAGAGTAAAGTAAATCTTAAGAATAATATCTTCACTCATAAATAATCGAAATAAAGAAATAAACGTCTTCAGCTATTCTGGGGAGAAAGTTCGAGCTGCAAAATAACCTTTACGCAGAAAAAATTGTGTTAGTCCAAGTTAACGTCTGAAAAAAAGTAAATTGACGATTTTAAAAGGATTGATATTAAAATATAAATCTCCTTTTAAACGTCTGGTGTGATTGATGAGCCCCTGAGGAATAATCGGCTCGACACCACGCTGAATAAAGGCTTAACTAAGAATTTCTAGTCTTTCTATTATTTATCTTCGGAGTAAAATAATCAGCGCCTTTAACAATGAACGCATAAAATTGCCAATGGATCAAGAAGATAAAAGCGCTTTGCTGTTAGTTGGACGGAGATTGCCTTTTGTGATTCCCGATCCTATTTTCAAAGAGGAAAAAAGCCTCTTTTTGACCCTTGAAATTCCGTCGTGGTACAAGCCGCAAAATGAAATTGAACGTTGGCTTTATTTTCGAATAAAAAGATGTGAGTGTCCAAAAGCGGGTTATCTTGATTAAAAATTAAGCCCCATGCCTCCCCTCGACTTTTATTATGTTAATAATAACGGCATTAATCTTGCTAAAACTTGGTTAAACTGATTATAATTTGTTTTAATAAGGGATTCCAAAGGTAGTAAACTGTTTATAAATTGACTACAATGAAGTACGGATTTAAATGAGAAAATTGCGTTTTATCAATTGATTGCTCTGTTTATACACGTGAGTTATGCATATTCATTATTCAAATTGGATTAACTGATTTTTAGAAGAAAATACTGTCCGGCGGGAAAACTAACAAGTGGAAACTACACGCGACAAACTCTTAGTCACGTGTCTTGTGTGTGTTCGCACGAAATTTCACGTAAAACGTTTTCCTTAAAATATGTGATCTCACGCCACATTTAATTCTAAGATGGTAAATAACAGGCAGGTTCTTACAAAGTTTTTTCTTTGAAATATCGTACCTGTATGTTTTGAAATAATTTATTTCTTGTTATTCCAAACATATTCTTCTCAATATTTTGTTAAAATTATCATTTTAGACAATTATTGTGAAGATCAAAGGAAAAATAATAGTCTCTGTTTTCTTGGGTGTTTGATGGGAATAATTCATCTTTATGGTACGTTACTTCAATTGCAGAATTGAATAGGGAGAACATTAAAAAATAAAATCAACACGTCGTGTATCGTTTTTTTTTCTTTTCTACAAACAATGATTGACTGTTACTTTCTTTTTATACTTATCCAGTTCACTCTTTAACCCTTTTTAAATGTAAACTTTCATGATTAGAGATTTTGGAACACAGGTTTGATTGAGAGACCAAGCTCGAACTGGAAGGACGTCGTTAAGGTTAAAAACTGCGTCGTCCTGACACCGTACGCAGTAAATCACGCGGTCATTGTGACCTGAGATATGGCCTTATTGACCCCTTTCATCCCCTGTCTACTACTTACCACCCACGCAGACACGCCACTGCCATATATTCCAACCATTGTCGATATCATTCACAGCTGTGGGATTTTATTAGCAAGGTCATAAAAAGCAAATTGAAAAGGGCCTGATTGACACGATGATACTAAAACAATCGTATATAATAAAGATATTATGATTTCAATTTTTATCAAATTCGTTTTTAAAATTATTGCTTACAAGGAAAAACTACGGGTATGGTATAATGGGTTTTAATAAAATATTATTTTCGGTGAAACTAGGCCGGAAAATAGTAGATACGTGACTGAGCGTTCTTCCCCTGGGAGCAAAGAAAAAAATTAAATACTTATTGTAATTTCATTTTCTGCCTTGTTATACATGTCAAGCTTATATAAGCTCATTAATTTGTTATAATGTTATCATATAAAGAGTAACAAAAAGGAAAAGAAGCTTCCAGTAAAGTAAGGATAAAATTTGTTTCTGCGAAAAACAAACAAAAACAATTTGGTTTGGTTTTAGATAACCCTCCAGTATAAATTTTTATAACAATGTTAGTCAGGACAATTCATTATCTCCGATGTCAGGTGCCCACCTAAAACTTACCCTTGCTTGCTTATCCAGATTTAAATCCGTTAGAAAGATTATTTTCTTTTGGTTCAGACCATTTCAACAGTTTTAGAATTTATGTCCTTGTAAGTTAAAAAATAAGAACGCAATCAACAAAACTCCAAATGTTTTACTTTTTTATATACAACAATAACTTTTTTTTATAGAGACTTATGCCTTTCGTGTAGGTGGGTAAGCCCTAAGATTCTAAGCCAGTTCTAACGTTAATGATATGAAGAGATAGAAAGACACAAGGAAAGAAAGAAAGCGAGAGAGAGAGAGAGAATAACAAACAAACAAAAAATGGAAAATTAAGCACGTACCGAGAGACAGATGTAAAGAAGGAATGATAGCAACCAGCATGAAAATTGGTGAAAGAAAGAGAAAGAAAGAAAGAAAGAGAGAGGAGAGAGATATATGTAGAAAATAAAGACGGGGGGAGAAAGAGCGAGAGAGAGACAAAGAAAGAAAAGGAGCGAAATAAGAAAGAGACAAAGAAAATAAAAAAAGAAAAAATGCGGGGGAGAGAGGGTGAGAAAGAAACAGAGAGAGAGGGGGAAAGGGAGAAAGAGAGAGAAAGAAAGAGAGAGAGAGAGGGTGAGAGAGAAAGAGAGAGAGAGGGGGAAAGGGAGAAAGAGAGAGAGAAGGAGAGAGAGGGAGGGGAGTGAGTGAGTGAGAGAGAGAGAGAATGAGAGAGAGAGAGGGTGAGAGAGAAAAAGAGAGAGAGGGGGAGAAAGGGAGAAATAGAGAGAGAGAGGGAGGGGGAGTGAGTGAGTGAGTGAGTGAGTGAGAGAGAGAGAGAGAGAGAGAGAGAACACAGCACAAATCAATATTTATTCGTATATTTTACATCAATGACAATAAGACGGGGCAAAAGCAAGGATATAAGGAGGTAGAGGGAAGTTACCGTTTCTTAGCGATAAACACGTACTACAGACTTCATTATCTTCATCTTCAACTTTTCCATGATTGCCATGAAAATTTTAAAACATAATGACTTAGCATCGGCATGTTAACGTCATGAAAGTGCAAGTCTACTAGTTCATACTTGTTTGTTATTTATTTACATAAAAAATAAAATCTCGTAATTTAGACTTGCATAAAAGCTCAACCTAGTATAATTAAGGTATTTTATTTTAAAAGAGATGTAATCAGATCATGATACACTTTGCAATAATTTAGTGATAACGAGGTCTTAAAGTTATGCATACATGTTAATTATAATTGTCAAAAATTGTTCTTGATATACGGAGAGTTGGTTTGTTTTATAATAAATCCGGTCTAAAATATTTTTTTGCTTAGCAATATTTGAAGCACTTTCTGAAATATCTCAACCAATACCTTACATAAAGATTAATTAATTGAAAGATGTTATTTGGTCAATCGGACCACGAACTCTAATGAAATTATTAAGCACCTTCTCCTTGTATGATATTGCAATTGGTTTCATTATTATTAGAGGTTTGAATGAAACTCGTTCCCAAAAGCAGACCTTCAGGGGCAAACATAAATTCCTCAAAAATCTGGTATGGTTAGAACCAATTAGTTATTCGTAGAGTGGAAATGAATTCGCATATCAACATTATACAGATTTGATTTCACAGCCGGCACTTTTTTATTTACTGTTTTTTCATCGCTTTCGTTCTCGTTCTCAGGGGCGTCAGAAATTCATTAAACTTTTCGCCCGCCTAAACAAAACCGCCGACGTACTTTTGTTAATGTTTAAACGATAAGTTCGTAGAATAAATCAAACTTCTTACGAAGAAACAAAGCGGAGAGACGAGATTGGAGCTAAAGAGAATTAATTCTGAATTATTTACGGCCATCAGGCATGACCGCCGTTTTGTGAAAGGCCGATTTCTCTTTAGGGATGATCAGAAAATAATATGTTACACGATTTAATGATTGGAAAAATATAGATCAATCAATGAAAGTGCAAATTTTGTTATTCTAAAAGAGACTCTCAGAGACAGGGACCAGAGTCGAATTATTGCAAAAAGTCTTAAATTGAAGTTAGGAATAAATAATATATAATAGAAGAAGAAGCTGTGGTGGAAAAATTTGATTGCTGTACAGCAATTGATAAAATTTACTTTTTATTTTGGAAATTGAGCAGAATTTTACTATATATTGCAGGATGTTTAAGTAAAGTTTTTCAAAAATGGGTTTTCAAATTAAAAATGAATAACTTTTCTACACTGCTTTTTTATTCGTCAAAAATATATCTTCTGGTATATAACTGATGTGAATATATTATATTTCAAGCATATTTGAAATTAATTTTACCAAGATCTCGGCTGATGTTCCCGGAATCCGCGAGGCTTGTAATGTAGTCGAGAATTGAGCGGGACGGGACGGACGGATAATTTGTTTTGGTACGTGATATTCATCAATCTGACAGGTGACCAGTGCCGGTTTATGTATGCTGGACAATAACGGAGACAGATATAGCCGGCAATTGCGTCGAGCATCCTTGGCACGTCACAATTGCCGACGGAATGCCTGTGACGCGTGGTGGCCCTCCTTTAGTGAAGTCCGAATGTCATTTTTTGACAACAACGGGAATTAGAAAATATAAAAGGGTATAAAAAATTGCATCAGTTAAAAATTTTCATGCCAGAATTGCGCATTGGAAAAAATTGATGAGCGATAATAAAAGTGTTCTATTATTTATTTTTAACAATTGTTAATAGTTTATTTTTTTAAACTATTTATTTATTTGACCCTAACGAAAACCACCATCTTAATTTTTTTCACGGTTGTCAAAAAACAAGGACATATGTGTATATGATCTTCTTTTTCTTCTTCTTATGTTGCTTTACTCTCTTATCCAGATATTGGGATGTAATTCCGACGTAATTTGCCGGACAACAAACAATTGATTTTGTAAATTACGTCAGATTTATTTTTACTGCCGTACCATTTTGAACACCAACACAATTTCAACTTCAACAATCCAAAAATATTATACACAGAACAAAACAAACATAAACGTAGACAGCATCTCACGATCTCCAAATAATCATTATCTAACGGTCACTAAACACAATACAAAATTATACAATGTATAAATATTGCTGAAAATAATAAAAAACATTGATTTAAGTAGAACCGGTGGAAGATGAAATACAAAAGAAAGAAGGGAAGATGTCGTACATTACCTGATGACGGTTCGGGTCCCGAAAATAAAGCAAAGAAAGTATTGAATGAATGATTTACAAAAGATTATATATATTAACTTTACATTTCGTAAAAGCTATTATTGATATTGGCTATTTTTGTTATGATACACTTATTTGATTTGAAAAACTGAAATTGTCGATCAAATATTTTCGGTAACGATGGACGTCACACACGGAACTCATAGTGGTACGTCACAAAATTCCTCCAGTTCCGTTAAGGGACCCGGACAAAGTGATGCGGGTCAATCTAAATAATTTTTTTTATTGGCTTGACAAAAACTATTCTCTTTCCTGGATAATGCGGTCCAAGAATTAGTAAATCTGGATCACTAGAAGTTAGTTTAAAAAAAATACTGAATTAAGAATTCCTATTCCATAAGCGAGCGCCATTTCCAATAAACGACGGCCACTATTTCGTTCCATGGCTTATTTTCACAATACCGAACAGGGGAAAATTACCATGAAAGGACCCAAAACAATGGAAACTGGTTCACAACTAGGGAGAGTTATCTTTCCGAAAGGCTCATAGTGGTACAATTGATAGAAAATGCGAAATAACGATGATTCACTTTTGGGGGTTCTACGCCAAAAAATCAGCTGCCCTGAAAAGGAAGGTATACATAGAATACATACAATAAAATAAAATACAACTATATACATAAAAGAGCTGCAAACACTTCTATGAGAGCTTTTCCGAAAATAAGAATCACATTTGGAGAAATAAATTCTTAAATATTATGAAAATGTGTTCAAAAGTTTTCTTCTAGATTTTTTTCAGGAGAAAAGTTTCAAAACAGCTCGTAAATGTAATAGGGATGTGTTGGACAAAGAAATGGTGTGAAACAACCTAAATTATCTAACGTATTTCTGAATCTATTTCACACTGTTTTCTCCATTTTTTGATTAAATCCTTGAAATCTGCAACGTATGTAAATATACGTTACATTTGAAGAAAAAAAAATCGTTTAACTTTTTTAAGAGTTTGAGAAAACTGTTGCAGTTGTCAAAAGTAAAGCTTATACTAAAAAGCCTGTTAATTATTTTTATTCAGGTTAAGAAGTTTTGGAGGGAACCAGGAGAACTGTGTCAACTGACACCCTGAATGTTATATATATTTATAGAGGTTTTAATATTGTAAACTATGTTACTAGATCATTAGTTATAAGGTTTGTCTTTCAGTACGGCGTGGTAAGCCAACACTAGCGCAACACAAACAAATCAAGCCGGTTTACCCTATTCAACCAATTTTCAACCTGTTGTTTATGTTTAATTTTTAATTATCTAATTATGAATTGTCAATTTTTTAAAAATAGGTATCTCATTTAACGAATTCAGAAATTAATTTAGTTTAATTTCTCGGATATAACGTAAAGTCTTGTTGCCTGGGACGAGCGTTACAAAGCCATATTAACAAATGATTTTTACTTATTATTTGTGAATAAAACTTTGATTAACAACCGAGAAATTAGGGGAAAACAGAATTACAAAACTACATGGAACGTGGAGTCTGGTAGAGGAATAAAAAGTTCCT